TGCGTGTGCGTGTGCGCGTGTGTGTGTGTGTGTGCGCGCGCGTGTGTGTGCGTGTGCGCGCGTGTGTGTGTGTGGGTGTGTGCGTGTGTGTGTGCGCGCGTGTGTGTGTGTGTGTTCAGTACAGAGCACTCTGCTGGAGACTGTGATCTCCTCAAACAAGCATGTACTTTAATGACTTCACTGTTCAACTTCAACACAGTCACATCACCTCACCAGAATGTTTATTACAGATGTTTGATGAACTTTATGTTCCTAGATAGAAAGATAGAAAGATAGAAAGATAGAAAGATAGATAGATAGATAGATAGATAGATAGATCTTCTTTGTGCCAACCTGGCAACAAGAAGTTAGTTGTGTTTGGAACAGCTGATCACTGATCTACTCTGCTCAGCATTCATGAAAGTAATATTAATAATTAGAAGTTAAATAAAGTTAAGTAAAGTTAAATAGTTAAAAGTTACAATGAAGAAAACCTTTTCTAAAGTGAGATTTATCAGAACTCAGGGACAAACTTGACGTTTTATGACTTTCACAAAGAACGAAAAGTTATTTACATTTCTAAAACATGTTTATTCAAAAAGCATCTTCAAGTATTTACAAATCCATACAGCAGAGTCAAGTGTTTGGGAGCTCCTCCTCCTCCTCCTCCTCCTCCTCCTCCTCCTCCTCCTCTTGTGTTTGATGTAAGGGAATGCAGCGCTCGCTCAGACCCTGTGATTTACTGCTATATGAAGCGTGTTTGTCCAGAACATGTTACTCTCTCTCTCTCTCTCTCTCTCTCTCTCTCCTCTCTCTCTCTCCCCTCTCTCCCTTCTCTCTCTCCCTCTCTCTCTCTCTCTCTCTCTCTCCCCTCTCTCTCTTTTCTCTGCTCCCATCTCTCTCCTCTCCTCTCTCTCTCTATCCCTCTCTGTCCTATCTCACCGCGCTCCCTCTCCCCTCTCCTTCTCTCTCTACTCTCCCTCCTACCTCTCTCTCCCTCTCTCTCCTCCCTCTCTGTTCTCTCTCTCTCTCCCTCCCCCTTCTCTCTCTCTCCCTCTCTCTTTCTCTCTCCCCTTTTCTTTTTCCTTCCTTTCCCTTTCTCTCTCCTCTCCTCTCTCTCTCTGCTCTCTGATCCCGTCTCTGTTCTCCCTGCTCTCTCTCTCTCTCCGTCTCCTCTCCCCTCCTCCGCTCCTGACTATCCTCTAGACCCTTCTCCCCTCTCTCTCCCTTCTCGTCTCTCTCTACTCTCCCCCTTCTCTCTCTCTCCCTCCTCTCTCTCTCTCCTCTCTCTCCCCTCTCTCTCTCTCTCCCTCTCTCTCTCTCCCTCTCTCTCTCTCTCTCCTTCTCTCTTCTTCTCTCTCTCTCTTCCTCTCGTCTCTCTCCCTCTCTCTCTCTCTCTCTCTCTCTCTCTCTCTCTCTCTCCCTCCTTCTCTTCTCTCTCCCTCTCCTCTCTCTCTCCTCTCTCCTCCTTCTCTCCCTCTCTCCCTCTCCTCTCCCTCCCTTCTCCTCTCTCTCTCTCTCTCTCTCTCCTCTCGCCCCTCTCCTCTCCCTCTCTCTCTCTTTTTTTCTCTCTCTCTCTCTCTCTCTCTCTCTCCCCTTCTCTCCCTCTCTCTCTCTCTCTCTCTCTCTCGTCCTCTCTCTCCCTCTCTCTTCTCTCTCTCTCTCTCTCTCTCTCTCTCTCTAGCGTTCTTGGCAGCGGGACAAGTGTTTTCTGAGACTGGTGGTTTTGAGCGGTTTTATGTTTGCCCCCTTGAGCCTCCAGTAAACATGTTGCGTAAAGGAGGAGGCGGGCTGCAGTCAGCTGGTTTACACTACCTCTGCAGGAGGAGGCCGAGCGCCGTTTATTGAGACGAGCAGCAGCTGTATTTGGATCCACCCTTTTTCTTTAGAAGTGTATGTTTTGAGTTCGAGTGCGTCCTTGTGTGTGTGTGGGTGTGTGTGTGTGTGTGTGCGTGGGTGTACCTGTGTGTACTGTATGTTTGTACCCACCTCCTCCCCTGTTTTGAGCCACCTCCACAGTTTCATGACAGCACCAGGCCGCTGCGTCCCCCTCACCCCTCACCCCCCCTCACCCCTCACCTATCAGCCCTGCAGCCCCTTACACAACACTCCCAGCGATGGTTTCAACCTCTGTCCGGTAGTTTTAGAAACTATGTGACCCTCTGTAGCTTCTGAGCCAGCCACTTGAAAAGCGGAAGTGCACACGGCTCACACACTTCCTGTCATTCTGCCGCCTCAATCTCCCGCTGACACGGAGTCGACTTAAAGACTCATGGAAAGTGTCGGAGAGTGTGTGGCTGCAGAGAGGGAAGGAGTTAAACATGAACAGGTGGGAGGAAATGGCATTCAGGACAATGCTGTGTGTTAAGCTCTGTCAGTGTGTGTGTGTGTGTGTGTGTGTGTGTGTGTGTGTGTGTGTGTTGCGAGGTCACTGAGTTGCACAGAAAGAGCCTGGTGCTGTGATTGAAACCAGGGTCTGTTCCGCGCTGTCACATGTTTGGATACAAAAAGAGAATCTTATACCTCTACACACACACACACACACACACACACACACACCTTTGCCACCTCCCTCCCTCCCCTCTGTCAGATAGCTGCTCTCAGCTCCTCCAATCAGAGCGGCGCTCGCTATCAGCCGCTCCATTCAGCTGCGTGATGGAGGTAAAGTGGTCGTGTCAGTGTCTCACCCACGGAGCGTAACACCTCCGGGGCTGAGAGAGCGGCGAGGTGTCAGTGACACACAGACAGGCAGAGTGTGAACGCCACAGGGAACACACATCACATACAACCTGCAGCAGTTTGTGATGTGTGTTCCAAGATCACATATTCAAAATACTCCTTTAGTTTTCTTGATGAAGACCTGGTGCACCTTAACTCACCTGTCTCTGTGAACGACTCACAGCTGATCGATGGACATGAAACACTTCACCGGTAATTGATTGGAAAGATCGAGGAGAACTCTTCATTTATCTCCATAAACTCAGACATTTAAGATACGATCAGAGGAACCTGAAGTTTCTCTCCTTAGTTCAGTTGGTAAGTTCTATAGTATAAAGCCAAGATAAGGAGAAACATTAAATACTTTAAGTATTTAAATACTACATTGTATGAAACCTTAAGGAGAAGAATTAAGGGTGTTTTGTGCAGCAGTTTTTATTTTAAGGAAACCTTGTTGGACTTTGTGCGACTGGCCCCTGATACTGTGTGATGCTTAATGTTGAGCTCGACTTTGCGCTCTGGCCTCTATCTTTAATTGATCTTTAGATGTTTACTTATTTATTTCATTAGGAACAACTTGTCCGCACACAATCACAACTCAGCATGAGCGCTGCCTGACAAGCTGAGCCCAGGGTGAGATCAGGAAGGCAGAGCGTCCGTCGTGTCGACAGTGACAGTAAAGAGACGCAGATCAGAAAGATTTTTACTGAGTCCATCTGTCACAGTGCAGGAAGCTCGTGGAAATGATTCCCTCGTGATGGAGCAAGAGACGCGAGTGGATCAACAGGTTGTAAACAAAACCTGCACGTGATCCAAAACCTGAACTGTAACATTATGACTCACGTAAACACCTGTCAGTGACCTTTGACCTGCTGTATGTTCTGTACGTCAGTGAGAACACATGATATCTTTACTGATGCAAATGAAACCAAACAACATAAAACACTCAGCAGCAGAATTATCCTTTAAATTCCCGCTCACTGACCCCCCCCCACCTGTGTCTGTGTCTCCTACAGTGAACCACGGTAAGTTCCCGAAGCAGGACGACTCGTATGCGTTCGAGGAGGACAGCAGCAGCGACGGTCTGTCTCCTGAGCAGCACCACAGTGACGAGTCGCAGGGCTCGGCCTGCCCTTCATCAGAGGCTGTGGGCAGCACGCCCTCCTCCTCCTCCTCACCTGCCCTCACCAGCCCCCGACAGGTAAAACAACAGATGTTCTTGTGTCTTTCACCCGTGTGTCCTCAGCTGTGCTCGTCCTGCCCTCCTGTGGCGGCAGAGTGAACTGCACCCGCCCCTGTGTTTCCACTGACCGTTGGACTGAGCTGAACTGGGCAGGTGTCACATTCCCGCTTACCTTTCACTCATGATGACCTCATTCCAACGGTCGCCACCGGCAACGGTCACTTGACTGAAACTGGTGCCAGAACAGGGTTGTTTAAATCCAACTCCCACTGTGTGTCTGCAGAGGAAACAAACTGTCTCCATGACAACAAAAAACAATGTCACCACAACCAGTAAAAACATTCAACTGGTGGATTTTTATTCGCTGTGATTTCACTGTTCACTGTTTGGCACCAGTCGCAGTTTCTGCTCCACCAGACACAGAAACAAACCTGTGGGAGTGTGTGTGTCGGGTGGAGCTGGACTGAGGACGGTGATGTTGGTCCAGACTCACACAGATGTTGGATGACCATGAAATGTGGTGCAGATATTCACGGTTCTCACCTGGTGCGTTTATATTCTTTGACTCTTTGTCAAATGTCAAGTAAAATGGGAAACAACACAATGTTGAATTACTCCACTGAAAGGAAATCAATCATTACATATTAAACTATTGGATAATTACTGATACGGCATGAGATAATTACATGAACCTGCCAGACTGATGTAGCAGAGAGGAAATCTGAAGTGGCATAAAACTAAAACACTCAACTAAACTTAGGAGTTCCTTTAAACTGTGACCAAACACCTGAGAACTAATGACGTGAGGCTGTTTGTTGTTTCAATTAGCAACTAATCAAATGAAACGATAAACATTAATGAACACGAGTGATCTTTCTCAAAATTATTGTGAAAATAAAATCAGGCCTACAGGACGTTACAGGGTTAATATACGTTACATTGTTCCAGTTTATGACAAACGCTTTTATTTTCTCTTCATCGTAATTTCCATCCACATTTAGAGTTGGGTTCTCCTGTGATCAACAATCATGTATGTTGTTTCTATTTGTGAACAGGGGGGGACAACCAGAGACCCACCTGATCAAAGCCAGGATGAAGGACTGTCTGGTGCCAACAACAGCCAGGCCACTCCCCCCATACCTGTTCCTGCTATCGTCAAGGTCAGCTGACTCTAACCAACGCTGATCTTCATCCTTTAGATTTCAAACACAGTTCAGACCTTCAGCTCTCACTGTTTCCTCCTCTCTGCTCCGCACAGTCCAAGACGTCGGACAAGAACCGACACAAGAAACCCAAAGATGTGAAGCCCAAAGTGAAGAAGCTCAAGTACCACCAGTACATTCCTCCAGACCAGAAGGCGGAGAAATCCCCTCCGCCCATGGACTCGGCCTATGCCCGACTGCTGCAGCAGCAGCAGCTGTTCCTGCAGCTGCAGATCCTCAGCCAGCAGAAACACTCTCACACACACACGCAGACGCAGCCGTCGCAGCAGCACACACACACTCCGCAGACGCAGGCCCAGTCTCAGCAGAGACAGCCCGCCTTCAGCTACCAGCCTCACCCGCCGGCCCACGCCCAGAAGTGAGTCACACTCAGCGAGGAAGGAATAAATCTGACAAAATAACATCAACTCAGCACTCTCTGGCTTTGCTGGAGTTACCGTGTGTAGACTGTTAATAAACGATGCCTTGTTGAAACTGGTAGAGAGTGTCTGTGTATTTGAACTGTGTGTTGCTGTCAGTGATGAATCCACCTCTCATGTCTGATTCCAGAGGATCCAGTGAGCAGATATCAGCCTGTGGCTCCTCTGGTCCGTCCAGCTCAGCCAACAGTAACTCCCCCTCTCCGGTCAAGAGTGCCTATCCCAACCAGAGTAACATCTCACCGGTCAAACCTGGGCCCCTCCCGGCCAATCTGGATGACCTAAAAGTAGGTGTTAACTCAGATAAACGGTGTTAACTGTCCAAGAGACTCTCCGTCTGATCCGTGTCTGTTTCCTCTGTAAGGTGTCAGAGCTCAGGCAGCACCTGCGTATCCGCGGCATGCCTGTGTCAGGTACAAAGACCGCCCTCATCGAGCGACTCCGGCCCTTTAAAGACTCCAACGCCGGCTCCTCGCCCTCAGGCTCCTCCGACATCACCACAGTCACCTTCCCTGTCACACCCACAGGGTCCCTGTCCTCCTACCAGTCCCCGTCCTCCTCCAGCGCCCTGTCACAGGGAGGGTACTACCCTTACCCCAGCACCTCCTCCACCCCTCCCATCTCTCCGGCCTCCTCGGAGCTGTCCCTCAGCGGCTCGCTCCCCGACAGCTTCAGCGACGTGCCCATGTCCTCGCCCACGCAGTTCGCCCTGCAGCCGTCCCCGGCCCAGCTCAGCATGGAGGACGGCGTGGTGGGAGGAGGGGGCAACCAGGGCGGCGGAGGACAGATGGCGGGGGAGGGCGGAGGTATGGAAGGGCTGGAGGCTGAAAAAGATAAAATGTTGGTGGAGAAGCAGAAGGTGATCGAGGAGCTGACGTGGAAGCTGCACCAGGAGCAGAGACAGGTGGGTGACGACCAGCTGACAATAAAACATCAGAAGAAGTTTGAATGACATGACTGCACAGGCAGTGTTTACCTCTGTGTCTTATGACAGGTCGTTTCTATAATCAGTGAAGTTAAATCCAGTTTCTACTTGAGTCACTTCCTCTGAGTTACCACAGGATGTAATTCTGCCATGGAGACGTACGGCACATTTATATAGCGCACAGTGAGTGTGTCAGTGTAACGTAATATACACAGATTCGTACTGTGTACCACATATATGTCAACTTTACAGAGTGTGTCCATATTAAAGGAGCAGAACAAGCAGCTTTGTCCCCTTCATTCATTTTATAGAATTCCTTTATAAAAAGCTGCTTTGCCCCTGGAGGACTGCAGAGAGGAGCTGCACTCGGGTTTGAATTTAGAAAAGGAAGAAAGAAGAAAAGAATAGATAAATAACAAAGGAAGGGAAGAGAAACTGATGAACTTCTACAGGCTGAGAGACAGAAAAGGGAAATGAATCCTTAGTTTGACTGAAGATTTTGAAAGAGAGAAAGTATTATAAGGAGGGTGAAGGGTTTAGATACACGACAAAACATAGACGTGCTGATTGACACATTAACCTCACCTGTCTGCGCCTGATAGGTTGAAGAGCTGAAGATGCAGCTCCACAAGAGGAAACGCTGCTATGGAGCAACACAGGACACCGTCCCTCCCCCGTCTCACCCCCCGATGCGCCACCAGCAGACTCCAGCTATGATGGGTCAGCACTTCTTTGGTGTGACCATCAAGCAGGAGCCCATGTCCCTGTCCTCCAGCTGCCCCTTGTCCTCTCCCAAGCAGCTCAAGAGCCCCCCTGGCAGCTGCATGGAGGACATGGGACACTGCAACACCTCTGTCTCCACCCTGGGGGGCCCCGTGGGGCCACAGTGCATGGACGCGGCCCCTTCCTCCGGCAGCCCCTCCGCCATGCCTGCGTTCCTCAGTCCTCAGTGCTCGCCACAAGACTCTCCCAACGGAAAGTCCTCCAGTAGTCCGCAGCCTTCGTCTCCTAACAACCCCTACCTGCTGTCACCTCCGCTGGGCAGGGACGGCTGCGGTCACCCCCACCCCCCGGGCAACAGCAGAGCACGCAGCATGCAGGTACGAATCACCCTGCTCAAGCTAATGCTAACGTAAACACGCTGATATTTAGCAGTTAACTAGCAGAACTTTATCCACGTTTCCTTCATGAACACGCTTTTGTCTGTTGAACGCGTGTTTTATGTTTTACCTTTGACCTCACCGCAGCTCCAGCAGAAGAGTGGAGGTCAGCCTGTGAACTGCTCTTATCCCTCTGACCAGAGAGGCCTTCAGGGAGTGTTTCCCAGCTCAGCCGACTGTGGCCTGAACCACGGCGGCTCGGCCAAAGCCGAGAACCAGAACATGCAGCCGAAGGTAAACGGCACGTCTCCATCCAGTGTGTTTAAGTGTTGTCACGTTGGTGTTTTGTTTTTCATCTGAATCACCTCACAGTCACGTAACCGTTTTCTCTCTTCCATTCATTTGTGACCTGTCTGACTCTTATATAATTGTCTGTTGTGATGAGGTTCATTGTCGTGTTTCCACTCTTTAAGAGTTCATCTGTTTTCATGACATATTCCTTCACATCAGTGACTTCTCCTTCACAACAACACAACGCCAACCCACTTCTGAGAGTTAAATATTTGATGTGATTATTCAAACATGAGGGCCTTATTCTTTTATCTGCTCTATACTCATATTTGCTAAGCTCCCCTATTCTAATTCCTGGGCTAATGTTACTTTTCACCTATGTCTCATGTAGATGTCAGTATTGCCCTCTCCTCGGCATGTTGGCCAAAAGAGCCAGGTCTCTCCCCCCGCCTTCAGTAGCTCAGATTCAGATGCATCTGACTTAAGACAGCCCCCATGCTATGAGGATGCAGTGAAGCAGGTAAACTCAAACCCGTGCAAAAGTTCAGTAGATGATGGCTGGCCACAGATTTCATTTTAACTATTGGCGTTGCTCTAATTCTACTTTTCTTCCATCTTTTTTTTTGTCCATCAACTCTGTTGCACCTCTTTCATTCATCCATTTGCTTTGTTTACTGCACTAACTGTTCACTCTTTATCAAGTCTGGAGCACACAGGTGTTGTACAAATGTTTGTCTGACGGCAGCTGTAGTTGATTTAAACGAGCAAATGAATTAATAAATGTTTTTCAATACACTGGCCAGGCTGCAATTATCAGCAGATATTAGCTTATTGCTGATTATCAGTAATGGCCCTGAGGGCATAGGTTTGGTTTCAACATTGGTGGGGACGCAACAACCCCACCACCCCTCCAAAACAAAGAGATTGGCTTTTTAATGCCGTCAACCAAACTGTTTATTAACATATAAGATCTGAATTTACATTCAGGAATGCCCATATGCAAATGTAATATATGTACATGTGTTGAATTTCCATATAAATATATGTATATATGAAGTAAAATCATGTTTGTATTTAAAGTATAGCCTATATATGTAAAAATTACATATGAAACCAGTTAGAAATTGGAACAATATCATATATTGACATATATGTCTAGCTAATAACCATCCCAAAGCCTGTCAGTATATGTTCATATTACATATGTAAATATAAAAGATATCTTTATTAGAAATGGTTAAGAAACACATATGCAAACATATAAAAATTTAATAGGCATGTTGTTTCAATAAAGTTGCATTTTATTATGAGTATTTCATATATGTTATAAATTTATATCTTCATATATCCAAAGGATTTATAAATCATATTAATATATCCTCTCACTGTGAGGTGAAAGCTCTAATCACCACTAAACCACCATCCTACCCAATAAAAAAAGAATCATAATGTTGTATGAGGCATGAATACGTCATCGTATAATAAGGCATTAAAATTCATAAAAAACGACATAGTATAATAAGGCATAAAAATTCATAAAAATGTCATAGTATAGTAAGGCATAAAAAATCATAACAATGTCATGGTATAGTAAGGCATAATAAGTCATAAAAACGACATAGCATAAAAAAGCATAAAAAACAACATAGTATAATAAGGCATAAAAAGTCATGAAAACGACATAGTATAATAAGTCATAAAAACGACATAGTATAAAAAAGCATAAAAAACAACATAGTATAGTAAGGCATAATAAGTCATAAAAATATCATAGTATAATAAGGCATAAAAAGTCATAAAAATGACATAGTATAGTAAGGCATAAAAAGTCATAAAAAAATCATAGTATAGTAAGTCATAAAAAGTCATAAAAACAAAATAGCAAAGTAAGGCATAAAAAGTCATAAAAATATCATAATATAGTAAAGCATAAAAATGTCATAGTATAGTAAGGAATAAAAAGTCATAAAAACGTCATAGTATAGTAAGGCATAAAAAGTCATAAAAATATCATAATATAGTAAGGCATAAAAAGTCATAAAAACATCATAATATAGTAAGGCATAAAAATGTCATAGTATAGTAAGGCATAAAAAGTCATAAAAATATCATAATATAGTAAGGCATAAAAATGTCATAGTATAGTAAGGCATAAAAAGTCATAAAAACATCATAGTATAGTAAGGCATAAAAATGTCATAGTATAGTAAGGCATAAAAAGGAATAAAAACATCATAGTATAGTAAGGCATAAAAACATCATAGTATAGTAAGACATAAAAAGTCATAAAAACGTCATAGTATAGTAAGGCATAATAAGTCATAAAAACGACATAGTAT